AGGCAGCTGGTGCTGCAGGTGCGTCTCCAACCAGCGGGTTACTTGTTTAGTTGAAAGCCCAACTAGGCAGCGGCCTGTAAAGCGCTGTTTGTTACTGCCAATGGTGTATCTGCTACTGACCACCCCCTTTGTAATCAACTCCACTGTGGTTTGCAAAACACAAGGTGATGGATCGACCAGTCCCCTCAGCTCGTCACATCGAAGGCTGCCAAGCCACCTCTCAGCATGCAGGCACTTTGCAGATAGCAGCACGTGGGCTCCTTTGGCTATTTCAGCCAGCTCCAATCAAAACTCTGAAAGAAGCAGAAAGGAAACAACTGAAGTGCAGGAAACGGCTATTGAACATACACTTCCAACGACGCGGTGAGCAAAGGATGCTCAGTATCCAGCATATCTCTCTTCTCAAAGAGTCATGTTGATCTAACAGCTGGAAAGTAAGCTCACGATTTCACAACTCTGTTTGCCCCCGATACAAAATCCCCCATACTTATTGCAGTGCTCAGGCATGTCACAGATTGTACTTGCTTTGGAAATTAAGTTTTGTGCCTGCACAAAACCTACGGGGTTCCTGGTGCACCATGGGATGTACTGGTACTGCAAGAACACAAATGAACAGGAAAGAAAGGCTTCAAGTCAAATGTATGCAAGAATAGAGAAAAGGTTCTTATAGTTATTCATTCTTTTTTCCTCTGTTTTTTCCCAAGTGAACTAAAAAGGACAAATCACATTTTCTGCTGCTTTCCTGTTGCCTAACTTCTGTCCCCTGATGCAAGGAAAAGGGGAAAGAAACCAAACATAACAAAACAGGTGCCGATCTGCCGAGAGTGATTCCACAACAATGAATAATCTTTCTGGGCTAAAACATGCCAGAGACAGATGCTGCAGCTTGGAATGAGATAGAGGAGATGACAGAGACGCGGATGATTAAACAGGTAAGAAGCCAGTCATACGGCTTCTCGCTCATCTCTAGCCACAGCAAGGAGACAACACAGGAGAGAAGGTTGTTTTACACAACTGATACCAACCCTGCCAGAACTGAACAAAGACAAACAAAGCATTCATCAACCAATGGGTGAAGACCAGGGTATGCATAATTAAGGCTGTTTTCCCCACTGATTTAATGCCTTAATCAGTAGCTAATTTCATTTCCCCATTCATATTGCTCAATCCCTTGCTATTACAGTGTCATCTACAACTCCCACTAATAAGTTTTCATTTCACCATCCCAAATAACTTAGTAACTCCAGTAAACTCTCAGTTCACTGTTTACTATTATTCATAAACATTAGAACATTACAATGTTTATGAATTAAATTGTTTATGAATTATAAGAGCTCCATTTCATCAACGACCTCCATTTCCCCAACCCTCTGTTCCTTGTTATTTCAGCAATTACAATTGGTAAACAGCTTCAACTTTTTTATTTCATGAGAATGGAAGTTAACTCTAAGGAGACGTTTAAGAAGCTTTCTGAAAATCCAGGTTACAGGGTATCAGTGGATCTTTGACTTCTTTACAGGACTGCAATAAATTTGTGAGACAATCTCATGCTAACAGAAGCTGTATTGAGTCTTCTCCATTATAAACCAGTCAATCTACATGCCTAATTTTGCCCTTTTCTCATTATATTTATACAGGTGCTTCTATGATACAGCCTCTAAAATCAGCTGAGAGCCTTTCTAAAAGACCGGTATTCTGTGGTGCTCTTCATTCTTCTGGTAACCAGGCTCTTCTGAGCAGTAACTTACTGGCCTCAATTAGTAGTTCAGGAACAGAGTTTCAGATTGCGTCAAAACGTCTGGGTGATCGTTATTTACTTGTCATTTCTTGCTATTTCAAATACCAATTTGCACAAAGAGCCTTCTTAGGACTCTCTAAAGCCCCACTTCTGCCATAAGGAGAGCTTCAGTTAACAATCAGGAAAGGGCTCTGGAAATGGAGAACCCTGCCCACTCCAGTGCGGGGACACAAATCAGGACTCTCCAGCTGAGAATTCAACCAGCATTCAGAGCAAGCGCTACAAGCCAGGGGGTCCCACAGAACAGCCCACTCCGCCACGCACACCACTTGGCTGACACTAGCACCTTCCATAAGGACCAGCATGTTAGCGGGGTCCAGGAGGGATGACAGACACCACATGCCAGCCACAGCAATTCACATCATCACAAGTGACCCTGTTTAAGGAGATCTCCACACCGCCAGAGGACCCTGCTGTGGCTCTTAAAAATCAGGTCCTCAGAGATATATCAATAGACTTACCATCATGCTGTTGTTCTGCTCCTGCCTTGCCTCCTGCAAAATACTGCTGAAGAGTTCAAGGTAGTTCAGATTCTCTTCTATCACATGGACAAAATTTTCCAGGGAAGGCATAAGATGACAGATTTAAAACACAAAGTAACACCAACATCAAAAGGCTGTGCACTGGTGCGGGGGCAGGGAGGGGAAAACCCAACCAAAAACCAAACCACCCAAAAAACTGATTTATAGGAATTCTCTGCAATTGCGGGAGCTACCTTGTGGGGCACAAAAACATGTCTTGAGGTGGCATCCTGCAGATCCCCACCCTGGAAGTGTGGATTTGCTCTCCTTCCCTACAGAGGAACTGCACAAACCACACTCAAACTCAGCCTTAACAGAACCTAGAAAGAGAGCCGAGTACAAGGGGCCTGAAATCACTGCGCTCCCCATAAGATTTACACCTCTTGATTCTTTGTACAGTGCCTTGTACAGTGAAGTCATGGTTCAAAGAGGAGCTCTGAGGCGATCCAAAAGGCACCTTGCTCAGGAAAGCACCTATTAAAAGGTGATCACCCCACATTACTCAGAGGCAAAAATTGCCCCGCAGCAGCAGACAGAAAAGAGGAAGCGGAAAACGTTGCTCAGGGTTTCAGAAAAATCAACTGACTTCCAGCAAAAGCCTGCTTAGAAGATGTGCATCTTCAGAACCCAGGTATTTCCCTGACCACCCAACAAGAAAGAGACGGCCAAATGGTTTGATGCCGATGTTCACAACCCCTGCCCCAGCCCCCACAAAACCAGCACTGCTGCGGATCAAGGGCTAAGCAGTCTTTGAAGGTCGTCTTCCCTTCTGTTATGCTGATTGGAAGTAAAATCGCTAATGAAGCGAAGAGAAAAACCCCCTCAGCTCCTGACAACTCTCTTACTCAGCTAGCACTGGCTGAGAGAGAGGGGCCTTAATAACCAAATCCAACCCCAAGACAGAATAACATGACATGCAAGAAATTAATACCACCGCGCTAGCTGATGGAGATCACAAGCTTTAGCTGAGAGTTGTATGTGGAACTTGCTCAGGACCAGCGAGTGGAGGTTTCTGCATAAAGAGTTCAACCCAGTTCCTGATTTTTTAGAGCATTAGTAAGATATGAGCTACTGAAACATTTTTAGGAAGGATAAAAAAACCCCAGATATTGAACCAGATGGATTGCTTAGTATTGACCCCAACTTCAGATCTCCATTTGAATTAAGACTTTTTAAAATCACTGAAGCTGTAAGAAGCACTAAATATGGCCTGATTTATCTGGGACTTGGACCAGAACTTGGGCATGAAAAGAAACTGCATTTTGGCTCAAAACCTCATTGCTGCATTTTGCTGTGGTATGGCCAGAGGTAAGTTACTAGAATTCCAGTCAGGAGTTGAACAATGTTGCCTTCAGAGACAGTCTAGCATGCCAAAACTCTCTCTGCCCAGCATTTCCAAAAACCACCACATGGGATGTGGTGAAATCATGCCCCTCAGGCCCCCTCAGCACTGGAGACTCCAGTGGCAGAGGACAGGATTTCAGAGTGTATGCATACAAAATGGCTGCCCTGACTTTTCTGCAGTGGCCTCCTTTCCCAACAGCTCTTACCCATCTTCGGGAGTTGCCATAGATGACAGAGGGTGAGCTACATTCCCTGAGGAGCTCTGTGGGAGCCACGTGGCTGCTGGAGTTGAGGCTGTCCCTTCCAGGCTGGAGCTTACCAGCGATCGAGAAGAGCTCTGAGTCTAGAAAAAAGAAATACATCTGCTGTGGCGGACAAAGGAAGAATTTAGACAGGCTTAATTACTTTGTATGCAAGACTTGTGATTAAACCTCAGTACTGTTTGTAACATACACACACAATCTAGGCCATTCCTGTGGCTGGCAAGTCAGCTGATACAACCCTCCACAGTTCTGCAAATAGCTGGTACCAAAAACCTCTGCACGTAAGTCACCCGTGTTGTACATGGCTTGTCTTCTACACTGAAGAATTAGGAGGCGGTGCCATGTCCTAAACTGCGAGTCATGCACAGCAGCAACTCCCCTGACAGGGGAAAGATTTACATGTTTCCTGTGCTGACCTTGAATGCAGGCATGTGGAAATGAGATTGCTTCAGCTGTATAGTCACTATAATTGATGCAGAAAAAGTTGTGTAGTCTTAAAACACCTTAAACTAACCAGGAAAGCACCTATTTCACTTTTGCAGCACTAAAATCATGATAGGTTTAATACATCAGGCTGAAATTCACCAATCACAGTGTAGGCCCTCCACGAGCGGCCGACACTAGATGCTCAGGGAACATAAAAACAAGGCGCATGGCGTGGCATGGCATGCCACATCTACCATACTCCAGCCACCAGCAATTTGCAGTTTGATGACTTAATGGGACAAAGAACTCCTCTACTGGGTTTCTTTCCATGAATTTGCCTACCCCCTTTCTAAATCTGTGTCAACTTTTAGCATCTCAAACTTCCCTTCTCTACAGTAAAATCAACCATTGTGTGGAAGTTATCCCTTTTTCGTCTCTTCAGAGTTTCATTTGATGTCCCATGGCTCCTGCACTGGAAAGGAAGAGCAACCAAATAGTCCAAAAGCTACTTACGCAAGCTATTTTTAGCAAATGCCATATTTCCCTTTGTCTTTTGCCCTGCATCTGCATCACTGAGTTGTCAGCTTCCTTGATGTTATTTAGAGCTACTTCAATCTTCGGAAGCAAGTCAATGATCTTCTGCTTACAGCCCAAGAGCTTGCTATAATAAAAAACAAACACAAAGTTACTTTCCAGCTTACGTGGCAATATGTTTTGGCAAATCCAAAAGCCTCACCTTGGGATTCAAGAAAAATTCTGTCAGAACACCCTTTTCTCTTAGCACAGCACTGTGATAGCTGCAGATACAAAACCTGCAAGACTGGAGGGACGCCTGGACTTTTCCAAGTCCAGTTAAGACTCAAGAAAGCAGGCAGACACTACTATTAATACCCACAACATAAGTTCTTCCTATCTGAAATGCAAAAATTGATCCTGATGACAATGGACAGCACAGCAGCTCAACCATGGTATTTTATTAATCTCCTCTGGTCTGTGTTGGTCTCTGTGGGCTGACCATACCATAGCGAACAATTTTCTTCATGGGATCTGCTAAGCATAAGCCACACATGAAAATAAAACTAAATCACGCTTCGCTGACTACTGAGATCTGCATAATGACATTTTTTCTGATCTACTTGAAGAATTAATGAACTGTGGTATGTTCTCACTTGTTACACTATTTCTTTTTTTTCTCCTTAAGATTTTAATCCCAACCTAAACACTGGCAGAATTTGTCTCATTTTAAAGTGAACTCTTCAATGCTAACAGTACAAGCCATTGCATTCTCCTCCCCTTCCCTATTAACTATACGTTTTAAAAAAAGTAAGTGGAAATTCAACACAGACACAAAGCAGCAGAATTAATATTGCTATGAGAAATGTATACCTGTGGATGGAGCTTTTGGGCTCTGATCTGCATGGTTTTCCTGCTACAAAGCTACAAATGCTGCAAGTTGCATTTGTTTGGGTTTTTTTCTGCATAAAGTACCTGAGATGGCCAAAGAGCTCCTTGAGAACTCGGTCTTGGCTCTGTACTGTCTGCACAATGATCTTCACCATGTCCGTGCTGTCACTGTAGGCATGATCTGGAAGGGCCATCAATCACCACATTAGTAAAATGCTCTTCAGCGAGGAGCCACTCTGGACACAAACGCCCAGAGTCAAGGAAAGATTTGACTTAAGGAGTGCAGCCAAACAAACTGAAACACAATGAAACATCTTAAAATCTGTCATTAGGCACAGCTTTTCCTTAAGGTATCTTCTCTCCACAGTAACGTACACAATTCCAGCCACTCTTGCTGTCTAGATACTGGCTTCAATAAGGACTGCAGGTAGTTGCCAAGTGCACAAGTAACTAAATCCTTCCGCTCAGCAGTTACAATGTTCAGAACATAATAATCCCCAAACATGGGGTTCCATCCAGCATAATTACAAGAGAAGAGGAGAGGGAGAAAAGAGACTGCCCTTGGGTTGGAGCGACAACAGAGGAACAGCAGTTCTTCCCATGTACGGGGGGAGTAAAGCAATAGTACTGGGGGCAGGAAAAAAGGTAGAGAATGCCAGAAGGCAGACACGTGTTCAGGGCAGATGCTCCGAGTCTGAAAACCAAAAGACAAACTCAGGGCTGAGGAACAGGGCTACAGGAATTTGGGAGAGCTCTAGGCTCAGCAAAAAGAAGAAATCAGCTTAAGGCATGCCCTTGAGCCTGGTTAACTTTAATACAATCATTTGCCTTCTCCTACTAAACAGTATTTTCTGGGTTTGAGTTCAGAAAAATTAGTCATGCAGTATGAGTGTGAAACAGTCTTTGAACCATCTCCTTCCATACCTGGAGGTCTTGTTTTTAATTGCTTGTATAGGTCTATGGCTCTCTGTTCCCTTTAAAAAGAAGAAAATGATTCATACATGTATCAACAAGCAGGTGACTCAAGAAAAAAAGCAATTACAATTAAGTTAGGCCTTGCTGAACCTGATACATCGGATCTGCCACCTTCTTCTATAGCTAGTATACAAGTATGATATTTGAAACACAGGGATGGTCTTTCTGTGATGGAAACCAACTCTTTCCTAAAAGCTGTCTTCTCTTTTCCTCTGATTACACATTTTCTTCTCAGATAACCATACCAACTGGAGGTTATTTCCAGTTTCAATTTTTCACATGGCTCAGCTGTGTTTTCCTTCCATGGTATCCTTAATTATGAAACTTCATTTTTGTAACTATAGGTACTTCTGCACAACTGCCTGAGAAATTCTTGTTCCTGTTCTGTATTTTTTGGCTGAATTTTACAGTGATACTCTGCAAATGGAAAGAGATAGCTGCATCACAAACAAGAGGACAGTGTTTCTCTTCTTCCCATTACATAAATGTTACTTCTTTCAAATATTTCAAAAGCAGCCAAACACTGAAGCTTCCACCCTTGAACAAATCTTCACTGTTCTAAATAAAAAGTATGTCAAAACCAAGTAGCAGTTTAGCCAGTTCCAACTCTGTTTTTGGGCCCTCACCAGGCCTCCTCTTCCCCTTAACTGCCCTTAGATCACCCCAATCCTGTTTCAAGAGATCATGCAAGCTGCTTCTGCTTATGTAAGTCAGCACTTCTAGCATGCTGGATAGTTATCCATCTTGAAACTCCCGCATCAGCCAAGGATGGGGGAGAGGGGCTCTTTACTCCTGCTGCACTGGGAAAAAGAGAACGTTAGCATCCAGCACCGTCAGGTAAATTTGAGACACCACCCAGGATCAATATGTGTCTCGTGGCTGTGTACATCAAACCTTAAGCTAGTGCTCTGCAATATGCTTTGCTACAGCCCCAAAAACTAAAGAGCAGGAGACTCAATCTGTTCTCCACTTCACTCCTCATTAAGAGGAGTAGCTTTAGACTAGAATAGACAGCTTAGGGCACACTTTAAGCACCTTGCAAATAGCTGATACAGCCTTGGGTTTGCAGTGGTGAAAGTGCTTAAAAACAATGTTTTATGGGGCACATTCATGATCAGTTTAAGCTGCTCAATGTGGGCTACTGCTGCAAGAGGTCATTTCTCCCTTCCACCACTTCCTTCCCTGTGCATCAGTTCTGCTGCTCCTGCAACTACACATGGATGAAAAGCAACTTAGCTGATCTAGCTCTGCAGAGGGAGGGGGGAGAACATGCCAGGAACAGGCACGTTTCTTCCCAGAATACATTCAGGAGAGCTCTTACCAACAACAGATTTAATGGCTATTTAATCTTGGTGGCTATTTCATCCCTCTCTTTTGTAATTGTCACTTGTGCTCCCAGCAATAGCCCAAACTACAATAATTGCTTCCTACATCTTCTTAAGATCAGTAATACCACTTAGATCTTTCATATTTTAATACTTTTTAAAAAGTTTTCAAACGTTCAAGTATCCATGAGTTGTTAATTATCCTTGCTTTGAAAACACATTGAAGATATTTAATAGGATTTTACAATGATCTCATAATTTTCTCACTCAACACTATAAAATTCACTGTTCTTTAATGCAAAAATAAATCCTCTGCATTTTTCAGTTGAGACCAAGATATATCTTAGGCCCATCCTCTTCTAAGATGAAGTTTCATAGTCAGTGACAGAGAAGTATCCTGTCCTCCCCGGCTGTGTTTTCCATATTTCCCCAGGTCTAGTAATTATGCGGTTGCAGGGTAAGTTAGGTAAGTTAGATGAGTTTACTCCTGCGACGGAATGCTGATCTTTCTTGCACAGCTACCTTTCAGACAGAGCAGTGTCCTATTCTGCCTTATGATGCTGCCAAGTGATCATTAGAACTTCAAGAGGAATGAGGAATGTACAGCCACAAGTGGTGGGATCTTCCCCTTTAGCAGCAAAATGATCTTAAACCGATTGCAAACTACTCTGTACTCGCGGTTTGCAAAAAGCAAGGAGTGCATTTCAAAAGCCCGGTTGGAACCACCAACAGAGAAAAAAAAAAACCCTCAGACACTGAAATAGACAAAATCCATTTATGTGCAATAAAAATAATAAATAAAGGACTTACAAGCTCTCCATGACCTCTCCTTGGCGCCTTGCATAGGGACTCTTCTGAAGCTCTACAATCTCTGTGTGCAGAGCCATAATCTGCTCATCCAGATATCCAATATCTTCAGCCTAATGGGGAATGTAGTTACAAATCAAACTGAAGGAGGAGAGCAATAAAGTAGATAAAGATCCTCAGAATACTTATTTGGATAATGGGCTGACTCCATGCAGAGTTTAGGAGAAAAAAGCTCTTTGACATGACTGCTGCTACAAATAATTGAGGTTACCGTTATTATCTTCTCAGTGGATGATATCACCTAGATCCAAATCCCTGACAACCCCACTGGATGAGAAAAATCAGTTTCTTCATAAATCATCTCTCTTTGAGATGCACGCTGCACACACATACAGTCTTTGGCTCTACGCACGTTCCAGCAGTGAAGATATTTTCTCCTACTCTTACAGTATGGACAGAGGGTGCTCTCACATTTTACCCTCCCATATGCATTTTGGTCTCACATTTCTCCGGTATTTCACATCTTCCTCAAAGCAATATAAAAGATACCAATCTTATACCAAGCCCCCACAGTTAAGTTAGGTGAGGCAGCCAACAACAAAATTTCTGAACATGAGGAGTAGGTATGTGGTGCCAGACATGCACTGGAGATCCCCAGCATGGTTAAGAAAGCACTGGTCACCGTAATGGGTCTTAGCGCCATGGACTGTGGGCACTGACCTGCCTTCCTGAGAAAGTATTTTGAGATATTTCAGCTTTTCCTTTCTGACCTGGGGCTGTAGGAGCTGCAAATTGAGTGCTTTCCAGAACACACCCCTTGCTGAAGCTGCAGAAGTACTTGGTATGAGGCTATATAAGTGGGATGTGACCCCTTGACCCGAAAGGGACATCTGTAGGTCTTGCAGGTAAAGAATAAACCAAGAAATGAGAAGCCACATAATCAAAGGAGAATCAGATTGTGAGAAAAATGTGAAGTAAACCCTGTTATTCAAAAGAAATGTCTTTACCTGGAGCACCATGACTCACCACACAGCATAACTGTCTCTCTTGAATTCACAGAAGTTAAGCTGCCCGCTAGATAGACTGAGATACCACTGTGTATTACAGAGTAAAACATTTTCCATTCCTGATAAATGGACATGGTGTGACTATACATGTGGACTGCACAGCTTGAAGACAGAACATAATTCTGATGGTCTGCAAAGTAAATATTTTTTGAGGTTCCTGGTTTTCTGGAAACAGCCACTGACAACTTTGAGTTATTCTGCTAGAAACAGCCTCCCTTTTATCTTTGTTGCTTCCTAACAGGGAGCAACAAGATCCCAAAATTTAGAGCGCTAAACAAAGTGAATTCAGGTGGGAACCCCAATTCCCCTGATCTCCATCATATAAGCAAACAGAGTCAAGACTCCAAGAACCTTTTGACTCAGATGAAGATAGGTAATGAATCCCAGAACCTGAACTACCCAGTCTATTCCTTCATAAGGGAAAAAAAATAGGCAATGTAATTTATTGTTTGTGTTTCTAATGGTGTCTGGGATTTTTATGTATTAATCACTGTGCTCTGCGTTACCATGAGAGCCAATACAAGAACTCCCTGCAGGGGAAAGCAGAAATCTGAGACATCAGTCCAGTAAACCACGTGACAGTCCTGGTCAGCAGAACATGCAACGTTCTTGGCACTCCTGCAGCTAGCTACTGTCACGGAGCACAAAAAAGAGCGTACTTTTTGAGGTATTTTAAAGACCTCTACTCTGAGAAATACATTACAAATATGCTGATTTTTCCTTGCATTCCTTCTGAATGCCCCCACTTCTGAATGCTCTCCTCTGAATGCCTCCCCCCTCCCAAGCTTTATTCAGTACATCCAGTAGAAGAGAAGAAGAAACAGGTTTTGACAATAAACTATAATCATCCTAACCCTTTCCCTAGTTTTCACAGCTAAAAGCTTATTCCTTCCCTATAAAGGTCTGGACAGAACTGTAGGCAGAATTATTCTCTGTCAAAAAAGCCTCTGTCTCCTCATCGTTTTCAGTGGAGGTAAAATTAAAACACTCATTCCCAGAAGACAGAGATCGGAATTCTAAGCAGTAGATAAATTTCAACTAGCCTTTCTCGCAGAACTAACTCTCTGAGAAACAGAAAGCCATTATGTCAGCTCAACTGTCCATAAACCACAAATGAAAACATCTGTTAACTATTAGGACTATTCAGAGTAAGAACTGGCTCTAGCTCTGCTCTAAATTTCTTAAGGATGACTCTCATTAAAAACTAATTTGCATATTTACTTGCGGAATACCAGAAATTTATGTCTGTACTCCTAAATGAAGTACTGCAATTTTGAAATCACTGCATAGTAAGTGATTGGTATTGTTTTCAGCTTCAGCAATGGAAATTTTTGTGTGCAATAAATGCAACCAGGAAGACTCTTGTCTATAGCAACATCATTTCTTTTGGGCAATAAATAACATGTCTCTAAAGTATACTTTCCTATATAGACAACTGAGTCTAGTGACATTTGTGCTGCTTTTGTTCAAATCACTAGATTCAAACAAACTGGGGACTGTTTCTTTTTTAATGCATCTGCAATGATATTCTCACTCCCACAGCAGGCAGGATATGAAACACACTGAAAGGACAGGGCAGTGGCACATATGACACTTTAACTTCCTGTCATGATCTCCTTCACAGAGAGATAATGAAGCTTCTTTAATATCCCCTACCTGTGCACACTGAGAGGCCTTCTCTTCCATCTCCTTCCAGGCTTTGAGCATCTTTTCTGAAGCTTAAGAGAGTTGTTAATTTATAAAAAAATAGAGACACAAAAATAAAGCATGACCTGAACTTTACATACATCAGTGGAATTTGAACACAGAGAGCGTGACGCTGAATCTCCAAGCAGGAGTCATGCCCCAGAGATCACAGAGAGACAGCAAAGTTGCAACTTAACTCCATGCTCGACCTTAACTCGCATACATACTGTTTGGTAGGATTTCACTGTTTGCAATCACTGGCCTAAAATGAGTTTGAGTCTTTAAACTCCACCATTAAGCTCAACAACTGCCACTTTTGATTAAACACAGACTGTCCAAAACCAGTTCACCGAGTCTTTCCATTTTCCACCATCATCCTTCAGTCCAGTCATAATTTTTGACTCAAGTTTCGGTTTCTAGCCATATATCCAAACTATGCATAAATCTTACTATTCTCCCCTAAATAGTATTTGTAAGATCCAGATGTTTCTGTGACATTAAAACTGTAGCTGGTGCTTTTTCACCTCATCTTTCATCCTGACTCCTGCTGCCTCATGCTGCCTCCTGATATCAAGCACAGCAAGATCACTCCCTTAGCGCTGCTCAAAACTGTGTTTCTACAGTCGCCATGCCTGTTTGTTCTGCCATGGATGGTTAGTGGACCTTCCGCTGTACATCAAGTGCGGCGACTCTGCCCTCCATGTTATGCCCAGCGACAACTCCAAATGAATCGGACTCTGAATGAATAAATAGCAAACATTTCCATCACCAGTACTATTAATACTCCAATTTTCTTAGCTTGGTGTTCTCAGTGGGGAACAGCTGACCACCTGTTTCACTGTCACTGAAGGTCTCCAGAAACATTTTATTTTTTATCCTCCTGCCTTTGCTTCTGCCAAACTCTTCTCCTGCGTCTGTGCCAGCTAAAACATACCCATAAGGATGCTGAGGAACACACTGCATTCATTTTCTTTTAAACTAGTTCTTGCCTACAGTCCTTTATAGGATCAGACAAGACACTCAGGCAAGTATTACACAATACATACATATGCCATAAGCCATCTGGTCACTGTATCTCTCCAGGTCGAGGCGAATGCTTTGATGAAAGAATTCCAGCTTTGCTTTCAGTTGCTGAGATGCTGACACCATATTGTTTTTCATTTTAATTAAGTTGGCATTATACCGAAGAAGACTGAGCCTAACAAATTAAAGAACAGCACATGTTAGTTGAAAAGTGTATCTGGACTGACAGTGCTGTCACATTACCTGAAGGAAATACACAGCTAGCAAAAAACTTTGTAAGATCCTTGGAACAAGGAGTCTCAGTGGGGTCATAGACTCCATCTCATGTCCTCAGAAGTTGCAGGTCCTCAGCAAGCAAAAGAGAAAGTCCTTCCTCATTTCCCAGGTTTTTTGTCAAGCTCAGTTAAACAATCTTTGCAGTGTGGAGTATTTCTTAGCATTTACAGGGTCCTGTAGTGCATTTTGCCCCAGGTGAATGCTGGCATCTTTTTTATCACTGGAGATACATGACACTGCCCATTCTGTGATTCAATTACAGGACAAAACCCTACAAATATAACAAACAGTTCCACTCGTTCTGCCACTTGTGAAACAATTATCCTGGCCTGCATTAGGAGGAACGTTGCCAGCAGGTCGAGGGAGGTGATCCTTCCCCTCTATTCAGCCAGGTGGGGCCACACCTGGGTCCAGTTCTGGGCTCCCCAGTGAAACAGAGATATGGATGTACTGGAGAGAGGCCAATGAAGAGCCATGAAGATTATTAAGGGTCTCTCCCATGAGGAAAGGCTGAGAGAGCTGGGACTGTTCAGCCTGGAGAAGAAAAGGCTGAGTGGGGATCAAAATGTACAAATACCTGAGGGGAGGGCGCATAGAGAACAGAGCCAGGCTCTTTTCAGTGCTGCCCAGTGACCAGGACCAGGGGCAATAGGCAAAAAATTGAAACACAGGAGGTTCCCTCTGAATATCCAGAAACACTTTTTTACCGTGAGGATGACCAAGCATTGGCACAGGTTGCCCAGAGAGGTTGTGGAGATATTTAAAAGCCATCTGGACATGGTCCTGGGCAACCAGCTCTAGGTACCCTGCTTTAGCAGGGGAGTTGGACTGGATGACCTCCAGAGGTCCCTGCCAACCTCTGCCATTCTGTGAGTCTGTGACTACATTCAAGGTTCAAGTTTTTTCAGTTATCAACGTCAGGCACTATGCAGTAAAATTCCTGGAGTGGAATAAGTTCCCAGCCCAAATATGTTTTATAATGTAAAAGTACATTTACAGCAGAGGGCTGTAAAACTTTGGTTAACCAAAACTCCCCAAGATGTACACTTCCATGCAAACAGTCTCTGTATTTGCATAATAATGAATCTTCTGAATGAGGAGTAACAACTTACATGGCAGCTCTCTGACCCTGGAAGAGCCTGCTATAATCTTCTTTTAGTCCAATCACGTAGTGAACTGCTTCTGCCCATACCTTGCGCAGCTGAGGAATTGGCAGTTGGATTTTACTATCCTGTACTGAATGCAAGAAAAACACAATTGTACACAAATGAAAGGATAACTCTAGAAAAGGACTTCAGTGCTTACAACATTCCTAATTCCTGCTTCAGGTGCCTAAACTAAGCAGTGAAGCCACATAAGATCTGCTCAATTTTTAGTAATGCTGCCCAAGCGTGTATAAGCTTTTCACATTACCGCTCCCCAGGTATTTGACAGCCTGCTACTGGCCAGGCAGCAGCTCATGTTTGAACTCACAGCTAACAAGAGTACCAATTCCTTCGAGCACTTTGGCCTATTGGCACTAGCAGACATGGGGCACTCTGCATGAACCATGGCACAAGGCAGGACCCACAGGTGGTTTTATCCAAAAACTCTATCTAAAGCACTTGCCCAAGCAAGCAAAGCAAATGTAATTGCTCCATTTAATCAATTGATACTGGCCACTGTCCTGACGTGTGTTTCACCTGAAAATGTCTTCAAATCTTTTGTACATTTCATCCCAGATTCCTGATATAGATGTTTAAGGGGAAAAGATGCAGGACTTATGTGTGTTCCCCTATAGAGACAGGGAACTGTCAGTACATCGGGATATCAATAACATGTTGTAAAAAGCCTTAGCTCCACGAGATTCAGCACAATGATGCCACGCAATGAGATCCACCAGAATAAAATAGTCCAGAACACAGAAAAAAACAATCAGAATAAACCTGAGTGACAGTAAAAGGAGACAGGGAAAAGCAGCACAACTTCTGCAGAGACAGGCCAAAGAAAATTAAGCTACTTAATAGCAACTGTATGTCACAAGGCATTTCCTTTACATGCAGTTGCCTCCTGTCCCTTTACACTATTTTTTCTTTCATAGAGGTATACAAGGTCCTTCATGCAGGTATATTGGGTATATATATATAGCTTCACAGAGGTATATTAGGTCCTGCAGATGACTGCTGTCATTTAAGGAGACATGTAAGGGAAGCTGTAAGCAGAGAAGCAGCTTTCATGCATGATCTACAAGTATACTGATGATGCCAGTGCCAGGCAGTAGCACCAGAATTAAGAGAGACCAACTGGAGCAGATCCCACCAGTATCCATGCAGCAACAGCCAGGCTCTACTCCTAACAACTCAAGAGGAAGGAAGGGCCTGGACTTTCTCAGACATTTGGCTCTGTTTGGTGAGCCCAGAAGTAGAATCAGTGCTATGGAGTTATGGACACATTATCACTTGAGCTAAAAACTGTTGGGAAGACAGTACAAGAGTGCAGGTTTTGAACCTTTGCCAAGTGTCTCTGAAGACCAGCCCTAACCCATAACCTCCACAGGGGAATGACAGCAGTTCTGCAACTGGTGGAACATGGTCAAACACACTGGCTTGGCTCTGTGACCAGAGCAAGGTGGGTTTCCTCATACAGGGCCTGAATGATCAGCAGCATAGAATGAGGGACCTGTTCTTTCATTTAGGCAAGACATGAGAGATAGATCACAGCTGCAATGCAACTATCACAAGACAGTACAGGGCAAAAAGGTAATCTGTATCCTCAGGATGCTGATATGGGGTTCAGAAGCATAAAGCTAGGAGAGCTGTAGGAGGGCAACTGCTCATGAACATCCAAAGCACCCAATCTCAGGAGACAGGACTGCAAGGAGCTGAAACCTGTTCGTACCTGTGCACAGGGAGGAGGGGAAGAGGAGAAGAAGGGAAGATGTGCACAACTTCTACAGATGCTAAACCCTAACGTAAGAAGGTCCCTGACCCTTGGTACTACCAAAGGGTATCAATCTAGGCGATCACTCAAGTTCTGCAAACATCTCTCAGCATGATGTCACTGCAGTACTCTGTGGGTGTGAAGGGACAAGACCCTTCAGCAGAGCTGAAGGCTGTGCAAATGAAATTACAGCCCCCAAGGCAGAATGTTCTTTCCAGGATGTAGGGTGCAGACATAACTAAAAGTCTCCCTTTCTAGGCTACAAGATTAGGTTGCACATATTATCTCCCAAGCCTTCATTCACATCGTGGTTCTAAGTGGGCCAATGCTTAGGTTTAGGTGTTTAGGTGGGGTAGATGCTCTTCAGTGCACAGAATTTAATACAAGGGCAAAAACCTTAAATGAATTCTTAAGTTGCTCTATAGGAGAGTTCCCAAAGGCCGGGCAATAAATTCTCTGAACTGTTACATCTACAAAATGTGGAGATATAGCACTGTAGATGAAACTTTGCTAGGCTGCTCCAGGTTCCTAAATGGTCCTCTTTGAATTAGAGAGTGCCCTTCAAGATAACACACAGAGATTTGTAAGGCAAATCTACTTTCACATTACATGAGTGCTTTCAGTTCCCAGCTGCCCTCCAGCATACTTACCAATGTAATTTACACAGTCAGACAGACTCCGAGAAGCGAAGGGTCCATCATAGACAGTTTTGCTTTTATCAAACAAATAGACCATGTAGCTATCCCAGCCTCTCTGGTGAGAAAAGAGAAGAGAACATAAACAAGAGAAATCCCAAACATAGCTCCTACTGACCCAGAGGGTCCTGGTTACATCATGAACTAATTATTGTGGGCAGACAATCTCCTTATCAGGTGCCTTAAAAAACTGATTTTGATAGATCCCACAGAAACACAGGATCCTTTGCTAGCAAGTTACTTTATTTAAATATTTAGATGCAGTATAACTATAAGAATCTGCTTATATTACCTGATAAAGCAAATAATGCTAGACATTAGGAGTTACTACACTTACAGACCAAACTATCTCCAGGGGGAGAAGATTAAGGCAACTTATCTTCCCTAAGATTTTAAATTCCCTGAGAATGTGAAAGACATTAAACAAACAAAATCATTCTTACTACGCCATCAATAACACACTGGGAAGCAGGTTTCCGAGGGTCCAGGCAAATCCCTGTTTCCAACAGCAGTTCCTGATTTCCAGTACTTATTCCAGTTTCAAATTCAATCCGAATCTGAAGGGAATGAAGACTTTCCTCGGGATGCAAGAGAAATGAAACAATCTTGGCAGAGGTCATATTTAGGATGTGTACTATCTGTAAAAAGAGTACAAGTTGACTACAAGTCACTGGCTATCAAAGACAGGACACAAAGGCCTGGGAGGGTGTATGTAGCAATTAACATGTTAGACTGAGAACATCATTTGAGTTTTAATGACTACAATAATCAAGTTCAGCAGTAAAGCCCCACATAATGAAACTCAAAGCCTGGACCTGTAACTTTTAACTTAATGCCAGAGAAAATTATAATCAAACCCACTAATAGCCTTCACAAGCCATGCTGCAGCTTAATTACATCAAAAGAATGGTGACAAGCTAGCATAAAGACCATCTTGAGCCTTGTTTCTGAAGCTGGCCAGTACTGCTCCCAAGAAAGGGAGTCCCATTTCCTTTAATCCCTCCATACAAAAAAGCTGTTATATACCAGTGCTTGTCTTCTCACCGCTCTCATGGCCCTCTCTATAGTTTTACTACATCAGGGCAGAGACTGTAGGACCCAAACCACACCATAATATACAGACTTTGACAAGTCCCAATTATGGGCACCATATTTTACATTTCGGGCTTTAATTCCTTCGGAATCCTTCCGGATTAGACAAAATTATCCTCTGGCTTCTACACATGCTTGCCTCAGCTAGTCTTACTCCAGGAAAGCTCCAATAATTACTTCAAGGGGAAGAGTCAGGTGAATGTAATCTCTGTTCTATTACGGGTACTACTATAGTATATGGACCTGGAGGTCACAGCATCAGTAGCAGATTTCAGGAAAACTGTTATTAGCAAATATTAAACCATTATTTGATCTTGGCGAGTCCTTTCTGAGATAAAGATAGTAAAATAGCGTCATTCTTCTACTCCACGTGTAAAGCTAGAGATTAATATTGCCAGTGGTATTTTACCTTCAGATATGTACTGGACAGGCTGTATATCCACTCACTTCCTGACACCAACAAAAACATTCCTCATGGTCCTGAGCTGGACGATGGCAGGATTATAGCTTTGCTCCACTGAACACACTTTCTGTCCTCTGAGATGCTTTCAGTAGGCCTTTAAACCCAGTAACAATCCTTACTCACCTTCAAATTCAGTATGTGATCCATTATTAGGAAACACTTTGGACGACTGGTCTCAGGATCTAAACCTCCACCCCTCTGTTGTGGATCCCAGTTCAGCATCAGTTGCAACCAATTTTCCATCAGTTCTACAATTAAACTAAAACAGAAGGGCCATAAGAAGGAGAAGGTAGATATTCTACAACACTCAATCCACTTAGGAAACTAGGGTCTCACAACAGCCATAAGGTTACAACTATTTGGTTAGAGACCATATGTGTGCTGAAGATGTGTGAAGAACAGCGATTTTGCTGCAGTCGCTCATCCTGACGGCAGGGAAAGCCTGGAAGGGGAGGGAAGCACATACAGAGTGAGCATCCCCACTGTTACAACAGTCTCCACTGACTTCAGCACGAGCACACGCCCATCCAATATAACTTGCATTACACTTCTCCCTCTTCCTGACTCCTATTCATTGACTTAAAAGTATCTTGACACATCAGTAAGGTGTGTCAAAATGGATAAGGGGGAGAATTCTCTTTTTTTTCCTCCAAAACCCAACTGTGATACACATGAAATGGAATAGTTTTCAAAGCCTTGTCTGCAGAATAACCATCCCCAAGCTGCAGAGCCGTCTGGAAGGTTTTCTTCCATGTTTACCCACATAAACAGCAAGAACATCTTTAAAGACAGTACACAATGCAAAAAGCCCAAAGCACTGGGGCTTGCCACTTATTTCATTCTCAACTCCAGTACTTTTCCTAGAAATCTGCCAGTGCCAATGAGTTGCATTGCACTGCTAGGCACATCTAAAGACGTAAGTGCTAAGTAAGTGACAAATGATCAGAGTCTGATTTCTGACTTGGTACAGATCAATTAATTCAGGTCGAAGGCCCTCCTGGAGGTCTTCGGTCTGAGCTCTAGCCCACAGCAGGGCCAATGTCACAGCTACAGCACGCTGCTCAGGACTGTGTCCAAGTGAGTCTGGGCAGTCCCCACAGATGGAGATCCCCCACCGCTCAGGGCCCTGTCCCAGGGATGCATCACTAGCACAGGGAAACCTTTTTCCTGTGTCCAAATTTCGTTTCCCTTGTTGTAACTTGTGCTGTTGCCTTTCGTCCTTTTGCTTTGCCTCTCTGAGAAGAGCCTAGATCCATTTACTCTGTAATGCCCCAAAAGATAGTAGAAGACAAAATTAGATCTCCCTTTGCCTCCTCTTTGCCAGACTGAAGAAGCCCAGCTTCATGGGCCTTTCCTTGTATGCTCTATTCAACAGGCTTCGACCATCTTTGTGGCATCTGCTGGACTTGCTCAAGTTTTCCCAACACAAATACTAGAAGCTTCTGCTGTCGTGGAGCAGCTAACTCAAGTACTTGGTTTATGAGATTCAATACCATCAAGTATCAGGTAGATGTAACTCAGTGGCCTTGTGATAACGGGTAGAAAGCAGTCACAGAGTTCACACTGCAGGTGAACTGCCATTGGAGAGCCCGAAGTATCAAAGAAGAGCCATGTGGCTACGGGCTATTCCTTAACAGCAAATGGTAGCTTGTCAGGAGCTAGAAACACTCCTTAGGAGAAAGAAGGAGGACCCCTCAGTGCTTAGGATAAAGGAGGAGGAGCCCTTAGTTTAAAAGACAAGCCAAAAATTATCATGTGTAACCACAAGGACACACTTACCCACAGAGGCTGTGAGGCTGTGGCAAATGGGTGCTAAAGCGAACCTCCCCATTCATCTCTTCAGAAGCAAAGATGTGCTTTGGATCCTTCTTCTTGATTTTTTCATGCCTAGAAAATAAAATCCTTTGTGGATATACTGACAATGTTATTTTTGTAAAGGGCCAATTTAATATGGCAGCAGCAAAAAGTGCCACAGTCTAGTAGCTTTAGAAAACAAACTCTTCTTTCAGGACAAAGACAACATTTCCAAACAATCCACCCAGAACATCTCCAAGTGGAAACGGGGAGCCCTTGCAATTAACTCTGTCTCTGGAAACATTTTTGCACCTGCTTGCAAGGAGGTCTGGACAGCATCAAACAAGAGGGCCAACAGGTAAAAATTCACTGATCACTGCACAACAAAATCAGCCTCCATACTTTAATGAGACAGATAAGATTTGCAAGAGTCATCTGGCAAAATCACTGCCCTTATCTTGATCCGAACGAACCATCTGATAAGTGTTAGAAACACAGCATGCTTTTGGATCCAGTACCAGGGAAAGCATCACCAGCAACTCTGCCTCAGTTTCCTCACCTTAGCTCACTTCAGCAGTGGCCTGAACCTCGCCTAGAGCTCAGCTGCCCCCGGAGCAGCAGGATTTCCCAGGGCAAGTCGACAGTCAGTCAGCTGTGAGGCAGCCGAACGCTTCTTGCTCCTGGAGGCTGCCAGCCTGCTCTCTGTCCCTGTCAGCCCCAACTGGAACTGAAGGTACATGCACGTGGCCTGCGTTGTTCTCTTCCTTCTTTTATGGATAGGGAAGAGCTGTTTCTAATCTTGTTCATTCATTAGTTTTCTACTACTTATATTAGGAAATCAAGTTTTCCATGTTGGAAAAAATGCAACAAATATTGAACTATTAAAATAATAAAATCCCAAGAATTAGCAGTTAAAAGGGAAACCATTGCAACATATTGGTTAAAATTAATTTTTGTTAACACATAATAATTTTTTAAGCTAACACTTGCATAGTTTACCTTTTCTTCTGTTACTATTTCAACACTAATAGAAAAGCAAGTTTCGTATTTTTTTCTGTTGCAGAATCACCCTTTTAAAAACCAAGCTTACATACACTCCTGGTATTGCAAGGTAAAAAGTGCAAATACAAAAATATGTATTTCTGCCCCTTCTTCTAGCCCTCAAAGAGCAAGCAGAAACCTCCATATGCAGGTTAAAGTCTTTCAGTCATCACTTTTGTAAAGTTACTTACAAACACATAACTATATGTTTACTACACAAAACATGCTCTGTGTGTTATTTATTGCTAAAAATAAGTAACCTCACAGCCTAGGTGAACAAAGGACTGTATCACTCCTTTCCATTACATTTTTCTGACACTGATACACAGACTGGTTCATAATTATATGTTTTGATACAAATTTCACTTGTGAAGGAATTATTATAACCAGAGGCTACCACACAATGTAATAAGCACGTACTAAAACATGTATAAATAGCCAATCAAACTGCCATCACTACTACTAAAGTATCAATGGCTTCTGGAAAGCTTAGCAGACCACCAGCCTCAGCACCTAACTAACAATAAATTTATCATTCTGGTTCATGCTGTCACCTCACCACATGCAGTAGCTGTCATTCCTATTGCCTGGCATCACCACTTGCAGAGTAAGTGTCTTACCAGGTAAATGGCTGCAGATTATGTAAGAAAGGTCTAAATCCTGCAATGCATTCAAACACCATCGTTCCAAAGCTCCAGTAATCAACAGTAACTGAGTAGGATTTATTCTCGAAGAGTTCTGGAGCCTAAAAAGGATCATAAAAAGACACTTTGAAAGTGGTATTTCAGTCATCTATTTTCTTGCATTTCTGCAGAGACAAAGCTGCGTCTAGGCGTGGCCCCCAGTTCCAGAGCAGCATGGGGACCCTGATGCGGCCCTGCATAGGCCGACCGGTGGGTCGGGGCCTGGAGCACCCAAGCCACGAGGAGATGGGAGGGAGCTGCTTGGGTCTGGCTGTGGGGAGGCTGGAGCAGGGGGCAGGCTGAGAGCAGCCCCGACCGTGGCACAGGAAGGGATGGAGGGGATGGACGGGACCAAACTCATCTTGGAGGCGACAGGTGATACAATGCGGGGCAACAGCCCCAGATCACCATCTGGGGGGTTCAGGTTGGACATGAGGAAACACTTCTTCCCCTGGAGAGGGAACACCCTTGGGACAGGTCCCCAGGAAGGTGCAGGATCTCGATTTTTGGAGGTTTCAGGGCTTGGCTGGGCCAAGCCACGACTGCCCTGACCTAGTGCTGGTGACAGTCCTGCTGTGAGCAGGAGGCTGGACAAGGGACCTCTGTAGGTTCCGAGACACAGTTCTGTGATTCTATAAAATGTGGCAATACCTCATCGCTTGTATACATGAAAAAAAAAAATCTTACCAAGTATTGTAATGTTCCAACAAATGAAGTGCATAAACTTCCTTGATCCAGATCCTTTGCGTATCCCAGATCTATTATTTTGTGAACAATCTGTAGACAGTTTAAAGAGTTCACCAGAAGAGCAAATTCAGAGGAAAAAAACCCCACCAAACAACCCTAAATCTGTGCAGTGACATCCACAGCATACACTCAAGAAGAGGAAAGCCAGAATGGAAATTTTGGAGAAAATCAATGGCAAAGCTTCGACATGTGACACAGTGTTAAGGTTTCCTGTTTCACCATGTAAGCTGACGTTGTCCACCTATCTCAACTCAGACTCGTCTTTATTTAAGGCAGCTTGCCAGTTACAGCTTGGCCGAACAGAGTATCTAGCTTTTTATCCGGGAATTTAAAGTTATTTGTTTAAAGAATAACAACAGAGAAAACAATTTTCACTAAGAAATCCGTTAGGCTGACTCTCTGAACTAACTTGATTTTACATGCAGCCCTCAAAGCCACAAACACAGGGAAATGTGACCATCTCACATCATTCATATTCTGTTGCAGGCAGGGCTCTTGAATGGAAGCAAAAGTTGTTTGTTTTTAATGACAAGGATTTAAGAATAAGCAAAATAGGATTTGTGGCGTCGAGAAGATGTAAACTTTTAGTAAATTCATAGTGCAGTTTTCAGCCCAGTTCAATGCCACAAACTACTTGTTCTCTTTTACTTCTCTCAGGCGAGACAAAGCTGCTGACAACTTCCAGAAATGACAGTGGGAACACCACTGATAGAAGCCACCTGATTTACCTTCCCACCTTCATCCTGAAGAACAATATTTTCAGGCTTTAAATCTCTGTGTATAATTCTGTTTTCATGCAAATACTGGATACCAGACCCTGAAAGACAAGTGTTTGATTTAATAGAAAATAAACTCCCATTGATTACAGATATATCTGATAAAAATCTAATATCCCTGACTTGGGGGTTGACATCAATACATTTTTGTTTTAAAGCACCATTAAGAACTATTGACTTAAAGGATTCGTCACATTTATGCTAGGACTGAACTAGCTTTGTTCCCCTGCTCTGCAGAAATGGAGGTCACTACAGAGTTCAGACCTCATGGCATAACCGCAGTTCGCATCTCTTGCCTGTAAGATGCAGCTGAATTCTTCTCAAACTGTAGAGTTAAAAAATGAACCACAGCATGCAGACAGGCAAAACAGGTCTCCAAAATGTGCAGGCAGCTTGAAACAGCTCTGCATGTCCTCTGGCCTAAGATCTTGGTAAATTAACACAAGATAACAGACAGACCTATTTATATACATGAGCACATTATGCAAGATGCTGATGAAAGAAAGCACTGAAATTAATTAAGCAAATGAAACAAGTCGAGTTTCCTTTTGACCTAAAACTACTGCCAAATAGTGGCTTATAGAGCTTCTAGTAAACTTCCACCACTGCCAAAACACCACAAGGCGAACCACCCCATCAGGGAAGGGATTGTCCAGCTGCGATGAAGCAGAAGCACAGCTGGAGCTAAAAACCAATTCCTTGGTAGCCTCTGGTTAACGCTGCGTGGAGCATCTGACCAAGGTGCCACCAGCAATGCCCCAGCCAGCATTAGCAACACTGAACTTAGGGGCTCAAGGCTTCCCCTCTGCTGGTGGGGGACTGGTGTGCTCAAAGAGAGGAAACAGTCGAGGAGGTTCCTG